GAGGAGAAAAGGCTAGTGCTTTGTGGCTTTTCTGCCTTATTCTGATCAGTAAAACAAATTCAGATATACAATTTTGAATTCAATCATGTTTGATGATGAAAGTTAAATACATTTTCACATTTTGCTGGTCATACCATGATTTGTAAAAGTTCCTATCTATAACATTCTGCTGGTGTGCAGTCCCTCCATTATCTGAAAGCTACGCCTTTCTACACTGTCCCCAGTATATGTATACACAGAGGTATCTATAAACACCCATCCGTGAGTTTCAGATGCACAGCTCATTTAAGCACTGGAGGTGGGATAACATGTAGGTGTCAGCCCTCCATATTTCAGAGCTTGAAGATTAACCTAATATACAATACGGTGACCTAACAGTTCTTCATTTGAAAGAAATCTGAAAAATAATCTCTGATACAGCCTAAGTGTGAGAATAACCCAGCGGGATTTCCACCTCTTCATTTCTTAATGAGTTTTTTGATAATGAGAGGTGACTTTGCCAGTCACTCTGGGCTCTATTATGGCTAATTTGACTCCACTTCACTCTCCTTGTTAATTATTAACACTAGCCTTTTTATCCTCATGAGACCACATTCCAATTTTTTTTTCCTTTTTAGATTTTTATAAGCCCATCTTTATGAAGGTGAAAGTCTTGGAGAACAGGTTTTCACTTAGTGTAGAGCCTGAACATTTATTATTCGTTTAGGCAGAGACACTGTGACATTGATTATATACGCACGGGTGTTCTTCGGGATGGCTTTAATGTGCTAGCAATGTGAAAAGGCTGTTAATTAAAGAAGAAGCACTGTGGTATTTTTCACTTGGGAATCAGTTCCCAATAGAATGGTCATTTGCCACTTGCTAGCATATCCACAGATTAAAAGGTGACTAGCTCCAAGGGTTTGCCTTTCAGTAGTGCTGAAAGAAATCATTTGTGCCATTTGCAGATGGCTTTCATTTGTCAGAAGYGGTCACTTGCCATTTCTATTCTCAGGACAATTGTGGAAAAATAGCATGCCAGGGTAGACTCTATTTGTGCTCGATTTCTAGCCGTTTAGTATAATTTAACTATCATGCTAATTGCTTCATTATGAAAACATTTATTTTTCCTGATTTTAATACACCTCTCTTTCAAAATTGTTTCCTTACCATTTAAAGTGATTGCCCATCTAATTATCTCTTTAGCTGGCAGGGAGTGGGTAGGACCAAAGGAAGCAGGGTGGAAGGCAAGCTGGAGCTCAGTGAGTTCTGGCCAGAAACAAGGGAGCCTGAGTTTGTTTTCATCATYGGTCTTGCTTTGGGAATCAGTGAGTGAGGCTGTGAGGGGTGGGAGGTTGGGGACAGTTGCTAAAAGTGTGGTGCAGCTGGTACTCTTCCCTTGAGGAAAACCATCGTTCATCTCCAAGGGTTCTTAGAGCTACGACTTTCCCTAATCACCACTAACTGTAAGGAAAGACACACGCCCCAGATATAATGTGTTTTTTTTTTTTCCTTTTTAAAATAGTAAACCAAATTTGAGGGCTTGAGTTCCTCTCCCTCCTAATTGGTTCAATCTTGTCACAGATGTTGCCTAACATGTATGCTGAGGAGTGCATACCTTTATCTGATCCTTTCAGCACTCTTTAACTCTATGCCCTATAAATATTTCCTGAGTTAAAAATATAAGTTCACAGAGAATTTCCTGTTCCTTAGAAATGCTCTATCATTTTATAAATTTCCCTAGAATCTGCTTTTGTTACTGTGTGATGAAACTGAGCTAGAGGCCAAGTGATCAGACTCCAATCTATGTCCCCAATTCCCTGTTGGCCAACCCCTGCCCAGGCTCAGGGCCACTTAGAAACTTAAGTTTCCTCAGTTGAAAAATGAAGAGGCTTAAGATCTCCTCCACACCCTAAACGAAAACGTCTATTTTAAAATATCAAAGCATAAAGATTTTAATAAAAGAAAAATGGTAAATAACCTGTGGCAGCGTCTGAATTATTCATTTAAAAAATCCTCAGCTACAAAGTTTTCAAGCAACAAATAAAGCACAAATTCTAATTAATATCTCCATTAATTTAAGGGGTCTTAGTAATTTTAATTTTTGGAAAAGCAAACATAAGACTAATTATTTAATACTATAATAACATTAATTGCTAATTATTTATTAATAATAAGTCATAATCATTTAAGATCTATATATAATTAGCAGCATACCTTGCTTGAGACTCTCTCTCTATCAGGCTTACATCTATGTAACTAAACACTGTTATTCAGCAAATTATCTCCCTTTCCAAGACTGGACATTCAGATCTCTCTCTCTAGTACCCCTGGCTAGTTTAAGCTATATTTAAGCAGGATTTGGACTATAACTTTAATTAGGTCAATATGGCAAAAATTGTGATACCCTGACTTTCATACAAAGATCTTTTCTCAAGGCACATGGTGGGGGAGGGGGTGTGTGGCTAAAAAAAAAAAAAAATAGACACTCAGTGTTTTCCCATAGATTTCTAAAAGGATGATTTGGAGATAGCCGAGGTTGACACTGAACATTTGAACTCAATCTCCATCTGAGTATTAAGGAATGTAATAAAACATATAGTTATTAAAAATATTCTTCATTTCATCAAGGGTGATAGTAASAGCTAGAAAAATTACGTTTACCAACTACTGAGATAGTGCTTAGTGGTCTTGGTTTTGGAAAGGAACTTGTGAGTTTGGGATAAAAGTTACTACATCCTATTTCAATTCCCCAGATCACACTGTGTTCCCAGTACCAGAAGGAAATTATGGCACTGGGGAACATTTCTATTTATCTCACTACACGGAGGAGCTGTTTTCTTCAGAAATAATTGATGTTTTTAAAAATCTGTTAATCACTACAAAATCAAAGCCAAGATCTAGCCTTCTCCTTCCAAATGGACAGGTCTCAAAAGAGAGCAGTAATAAGTGTGTCTTATTCTGAATGAGAATCATACAACATAATAGCACAGAATGATACTTTATGCATTCAGTAGTTAATGATGTGGAAATGTTTAAAACAGGAGCAGAAAAAGAAGCTCTTATGAGGGCTGGGGTTGTGGCTCAGTGGTAGAGCACTTGCCTAGCATGCATAAGGCTCTGGGCTCCATCACCAGCACCACATGAAAAAAAAAAAAACTTAATAAACAAAATAAAGGTATGTGTCCACCTGCAACTTAAAATATTTTTTTTAAAAAAGAAGTTCTTGTAAATGAACTATTTTTAAAACTAGCAGAAAATTAAAATTTTGTGGTTCAGTGTTGCTATCTCCTAAAATTTGCACTTATAATTCAAGAATTCTTCTTAAAAATACACAAAAAGTTAATACATTGGAGCTCTAGTAGTGAATCCCCAATAAAATTTCTAAGAAATCTACAAAAAGTTTTGCTTTCTCTATAAAACAAATTCTAATATTTTGAGTAAGTTAAATGATTCATCATCTTTACTAACTACTTAACTGTGAACCTTAATAAATTCTCCTGTTTTAATAACCCTGTGTAAGATGTCTAAAAGTCTCAAGACAAAATTTAGACCAAAAACCCATGATATCTACAATGTTTATTTAGCATCTATTATGTATGAATTATCGTTTTATTTAATCCTCACCACCAATGACCCTGTAGATGCTGTCACTTTCCTTCCTTTACAAATGAAGAGCCTAAAGCTTAGAGAGGTTAAACTATTGTCAAAGGTCAAGTAGTAAGTGGCAAAGAAGTGTCAATCTGTTTGGCGCCAAAGCCCATGTTATTAATTACAATAACATGATGCCTCTCCTACCAGGATGAAGGTTCTTAACCTGGTCAAAGTCCTGGGATGTCCATGGGGAGTACACCATTGTCCACAATTTCACCTCTCAAAGGGACAAGCAACCAAAGAAAGGTAAGAAACACTGTATGAGGGTGAACAAAACCAATATAGTTACATATATGTGTGTGTTTATTTATTTATTTAAAAGACAACTGTAAAAATATAGATTTAGGTTTAAAATATAGTAGTGACCTTTTGGGAAGAAAATAACAAAAAATTTGGATTTTTAACACATATAAGAATGTAAAAGTATAAATGGTGTGATCCTAGGAAACCAAGAAAAGACTTGGGTTAAAAAAAAGATGGGAAGAAGAACTAGCCCTTTCAATGGGGTTTGGGTGGTTCTGGTGACCTGGTGAGCACTGTGCTCTTCATAGTACCAAGTTCTAGAGCTACACAGATAAAGGGAGTGAGGACTATCCCAATGGTGATAAGAATGGTAGCCAACAAGAATTGGAATGGATAAGAAAACCTGATAAGTGAGGATGATTTACAAGGTATGGGACATGTGGACTAGAGAAGAAAATCCACAACAGAAGACCACTGTATTGATCAAGGAGAATAAGCTAGAACCAGAGGTTAGGAATAGGTGGAATTCAACTTGGTCTATAATGTACTGGCTGCTAGACCACCTGCCAGAGTATCTGTAAAAGTTTTTATTGCATTGGGATAAAGGTCTGAATAGAGAACCTTTAAATTATCTTTATTTTAAATGAGCAAGTTGCATCACACAGGAGAATTTTATTATCATCTGAGGAGTCTGAGGAGATAAATTCACTGCCAGCCAGAAGCAATACCATAGTGCATGTTTGTATATGGCTCAACAGAATAATTTTTAGGATGTTGACAAATTTCAAAAGTGTCTGCAAGAGATATAAGTATGTTCAAGAACTCTAGAAGTGCCAACATTATTGTAGATTTCTAGTTCACATACTGCAATGCAAAGGGTGCCTAGTTAAGTCCTTAATGAATGCTGGAGGGTGGGAATAAGAGGAACCTAAGAGCTCAGGAACAATGTGGCAGCATCCCTGTCTCCCCCAGACCATGATATAACCAGAGAGTCTGAGCCTACATTAATGCTACCCATGTCAACTCTTCCTGGGCCCGAGTAAGGGCTCTGTAAATACACATACACATTCATGATACTCCCCAACCCTTCCCACTTCACATACAAAAGAAAATCAAGTGCTCACTGTCATTTCTGAGGAAATTATTAAGCAGTTGAAAAAGAGGAAAACTATCCCAGGAATCTTGTGGTTGAGCCTCCAGTGCGGTATCCATATCTACTGTGAATAAAGCCCAAAATTTCTCTGCATGCTCAGCCAATAAATCAGGCCACCAGGCAAATGCCTATAAAASGATAAAGAAATAAAGCAGAAACAGATAATTTGTTAGGAACACATGCAAACTCCTTAGCACTTGAGCAAAAATGACAACAAAGAAAACGTAATAGTTTTAAAGGGTGAGAAAAAATTTTATAGATTCACATATTTAAACATTTAACACTGATGAATAAAATATGAAGTCTAAAAAAATTAAAATGTACAATGACAATGTTTATTGTTTTATAAAACAACTACAAGTATAAGAGAATAAATGCAATTTATTGAATTATAAATTTATAATGTAAAACAAAACAAAATTCCTTTTATAATTTAAACATAACTATTATGAGTGTTTTGGTTTATTTGTTTCTAATAATTTCTTTTAGATATAAACATTAACACATTTGTCATCATAATCTTATAATAATTTGCTTTTATTTTACTTTTATTAACAGCAAAATATTCTGCTGTAGGGATATATTGTTATTTATTTAATCATTTTCCTAGCAAGACTGCTTTTTCCAAAGATTTGCAACTTTCAATGATACTGCTATAAATATCTTTAACTATTTATGTTTAATAATAATTATTTCCTTATGATGAACTTCTAAAAATTACTGGATTAAAGGGCATTGTAGAGACTTACACATTGCAAAAGCTCTCCAGGAAAAATGTTTACTCCCATTATTTTTCCATACAGCAGCTGGTCATCATTTTATGAATCATTTAAAAATGTAAACAGGATCACACCATTTCTCTGCTTAAAACCCATTTTTAGCTTCCCAATGCACTTATTATAATAAAATTTAAAACCCTTAAATACCTTCCCAAAAGTACCATCTCCCTGCTCCAGGTCTAAAATATACTTTTATAGTGAGGATTTCCCCACCCTCCAGATAACTAGTATCTTTATTTCACAGGAGTGACTACATATGTCAATGTTTTATGTCTGTCTCTTAGACTATAAGAACAGTGTGTGTATATATACTCTATGTCACTTTCTATTCTGTTAGGAAGTTTATTGTGCATTTTAGGTAATAGAAATAATCACTTTTAAAAATGTCTGCTGTTTTGATGGGGGAAAATAATATTTAGCTTTTAGACAGTTCTTTAAAATAATGGGGACTTCTCTGGTTTCTGTTTTGCTTCACTTTGTGTCCCTCTAATTACAAAAGAGTTTAACAATTCTTCATACACTTAAGTACCATTGCTAATACTGTTCTTGCTGAATCGTTTTTCAGATCTTTCCCCATTTTTCTCCTGAGCAGTCATAATCTTTTAACAATGTCATAATCATTTTAGGCAATGATCAATGTCATTTTAGGCAATGTCATAATCTTTTAACCAAATTACTAGAAAACATACGCACTTCTGTGATACAGATATTTTCATTATTCTCCCAATTAATTTTTTCATTGAAAAAAGATTTAAAATGTTGGAAGAGCCCACATGAATCTTCAAGCTTCATTTAATTTTAACAAATTAAATAGAATAAATTAAATTATACTAGAAATGACAAACAATAGAACAGTGGATTACAAAAATTTGATACACCACTTTTTAAAAAAACTTTTATAATAAACATGGTCTTAAAGGCCATAATAATGATATACTAATAAAAATTGCCCCTTAACTAATTAGGAAATGGAAATAGAAGCAAAGGCTGACTTGAAGAAGAAAAATGTAGTATAAATAAATAATAGACTTGAGAGTTATGGTCATTTTAATGTCTAACTCAATGACGAGTATGTAAACATAAAAACTTGATGGGAATGGTATGCCCTATGTACACTGAGCCTATTGTTATTTGCAAGTATTATTTTTGGATATTTTTTGGTTAAATATTTACTAGGATAGATATCTGACAAAAATAAAAATAAAATGACATACATGATTTCATTAGTATATCTTGTTTCTGCCTTTGGGAGCTGTAAGGGTGACCAAGAAAAGAACTTGAGATTCCTCATTGAATACAGCAGTATAGAAACCCTAGTAAAAAATGCAGTATTGCAGAGAGACCTTTACAAAATCTCACTTTTGGTTCACAGCCAATACTTTTGTAGAAGGTTAAAATGAAGAAAATAACAGTCATGTTAGGTCAGGATTATTTTAAGACTCTAAGAAAAATTTCCAAAGCTCATTTTAAAGTTAATTTGGAAATCAGAGCATGGGTGGGGAATAAAATATCACTTAAAAAAAAAGACTCAAGGTTTAGCTATCAACTAAAAAATTTCATTATGTTTTGCAGAAGTACATACTTATATCTCTAATTACACTCCTAATGAAGCTGTTCCTAATGAATATAAGCCAATCTATGATGAATGCCACTTGTTCAGATGATGCCTGGAGGAAGCTATTATCAATACTATTTCTTAAAATCAAAGCAAGAGTTGCAGTGACCCTGAGAACACCAGATCAGTTCTAAACCCATCCCTTCTGCCTGGTTGCCATCCCATTTGGTGGCAGTGATCCCACCCTAGGTTAGTAGCAAGAAGAGAGGCTGTATGATGTCCTTCCTAGGGTACCACTTCTTGGGAGATGGCAGAGGTTCAACAGCATCAGGGCTTCTTCAAGTAGGAGAAAACACTTCTGAGAAATGCATCTGTCAGTAGGGCACCAATCAAAAGTTGTGATTATCCAGTTTAAAGCTACTGGCTCTAATGCTAGGTCACTAAACAGTGTAATGTGATCACAGATGCAGTAGGCAATGCTTAATTTACTTAAGGCAATACAAGAGATAAATCTTGTATAATGAAAATAACATGTGGCAGGCTAATAATACTTTGAAAGCCTGGTCTGTTTATGAAATATAGTAAAAAATAACTGGTAGGTAAGAATGAACCCTTAACCTAGAAGTAAAGTACAAGCTTTTGAACAAATGGTGAGACTTGAGTAGTTGGARGTAGGGTCATCAGTTCTCTTAGTGGATTTCCAAAAAATTTCTCATTTTCAAATTGGCAACAACAATACTTACCCTCACCTCCCGCAGAGTTTTTGTTGTGAAAATCAAATCAACATGAAAATTCCTTGATGTACAAATGTAGACAAATATTGCTATCAGTTATTACAAAAATGTGTTGAAATTCATACATAGATCTTATAACATGAGTTTATGTGTTTTAAAAAATAATTTTCAATATCATGTAAATAGTTTCTATGTGCCAGGTGCTGTTCTAAAAGTTTTATGAACACTGTCTGGTTTTATTCTTCAAACAACCCTTTCAGGTAGCTGATATAATTATCCTTATTTTATATATTAGCAACTAGCCAACATCTTATGATTGGTAGGTAAGAGGACAATGATTGAATCCAGATCAGCTGGAGTCTAGATAGCAAGATTTCTCAAACATATAACTTCTTAAGTAACTACAGATGGCACACTGGCTATATCCATCCATCAATCATCCATGTTTTGCAGATCAGAACACTGATACGTCCTTTGATTTCTTATAAGAAATATCTATTATGGTCTTATTTTTTAAAAAAATATTTTTTTCAGTTGTAGATGGACAAAATACCTTTATTTTGTTTATTTTTACATGGTGCTGAGATAGAACCCAGTGCCTCAGTAAGTGCTCCATCACTGAGCCACAACCCCAGCCCATCTATTATGGTCTGATTTTTTTTTTAAAAAAATATTTTTTACTTGTAGGTTGACACAATACCTTTATTTCATTTTTTAAATGTGTTGCTGAGGATCAAACCCAGTGCCACACACATGCTAGGCAAAGGCTCTACCTCTGAGCCACAACCCCAGCCCTGATGGTCTGATTTTGAAAGTATAATTTTCTAGTTTCTCTGAAGTCTTAGGCTTTGAATTTCTTTTACCCTCAAATATAGTAAAAATATAGCGACTCAGGAGGCTGAGACAAGAGGATTGCAAATTTGAGGTCAGCCTTAGTAACTTAATGAGGCCCTACCTCAAATTTTAAAAATATTTTTAAAAAGGGTTTGGAATATATGTCAGTGATTAAGTGCCTCTGGGTTCAATCCCCAGTAATTCTCCCCCTGTAAAAATAAAACATGAAAGGAGAGGTAGCTGTATGAATGAGCAAAAACAATGAACCCAATTTTGAAACATATTTCATGCTACTTTCCCCTCCAAAATGAGATGAGTTTGAAATCCTAGAATTTGTAGATGATCCTAAAACTCTGGAAATAAGCAAATGTCTAGGGTATATTCTGGCCCTGCCACATAGACATACTAATACTCAGTTGCAGTACAATGTGATGCTGGAAGGCCACATTCTAGGACTATTTAAAGTCTTTGAAGAGGTCAGTAGGATTGACTAAGACATTTTGGGTGAAAAACTACTATCAACCTAATTACTAGTTCTATTTATTTTTACAATAGTTTTTGATTTGCTGAATATTGATTATCTCCCTGAAAATTAGGTTCACATAAAACATAAAGAACTGAAAATGTTTCAGAACATATGTAAGTATTTCTCTCACTCTTACATACTTAAAAATGAAATGCCAGGAATAAATTTGACCAAAGAAGTGAAAAATCTATACAAGGAAAACTATAAAACATTGATAACAGAAATTAAAGAAGACATAAAGAAATGGTAAGGCATCCTGTGTTCATGGATTGGGGAAACCAATATTGTTAAAATTCCATAGTACCAAAGCCATCTATGGATTCAATGCAATTCCTATTGGAATGCCAATGGCTTTCTTCATGAAAAAAAAAAATCCTAAAATTCATATGGAACTACAAAATACCCCAAATTGATAAAGCAATCTTGAGCAAAAAGAAAGTAGGAGTCACTGCACTGTTTGACTTCAAAAATACATTATAAAGCAATAGTAATTGTTATAACATGGTACTGGCATGAGAGGGGGGGGAGAGGGGGGGAGGGAGGGAGAGAGAGAGAGAGAGAAAAGGAATGGAATGAGAGCTTAGAACTAAATCACACACCTACAGTTAACTCATCTTCAACAAAGGTGTTGAGAACACATTGAAGAAAGGCAAAGTTTTATTTTCCAWTAAATAGTACTGGGAAAATTGGATATCCACATGCAGAAGAATGAAACTAGACCCATGTTTCTTATCAGTTTTTTTTTAAAAAAAAACTCAAAATGTATTAATGACATAAATGTAAGATATAAAACTATTAGACAAAGCTATGGAGCTACAAGAAGAAAACATAGAGGAAACATTTTAGGACACTGGAATGGGCAAAGGTTTTTTTTTTTTTAATAATCCTTTAAAAAATCACAGAAAAAAAGGCCAAAACTGACAAATGAGATTTTAACAAACTAAAAAGCTTTTGCATGGCAAAAGCAACAATTGAGGGAGTGAAGAGACAACTGACAGAATGGGAAAAAAATAATTCAAACCGTACAACTGACAAGTGGTTAATATACAGAATATACAAGGAAGTCAAACAGCTTTGTATTAAAAATAAATAATCTGATGGCAATAGACCTCAATAGGTATTCCTCACAGAAGACAAATGGCTAACAGGTATATGAACAAATGCTCAACACCATTAATCACCAGGGGAATTCAAATCAAAACCAGATTGAAAACAAAAACAAAAACCCCACTCCCAGTTAGAATGGCTCTTAACACCAAGATACAAATATTGGTAAAGATGTGGAGAAATGGGAACGTTTGTACACTGTTAATGAGAAAATAAACTTGAGCAGCTATTATGGAAAACAGTATAAAGGTTCCTCAAAAACTGAAAACATAACTATTATGAAATGTAGCAGTCCCACTACTGGGTATTTTCCAAAGGAAATGACATTAGTCTGTCAAAAAGACATCTGCACCTCCATGTTCACTGCAGCACTATACACAAAGCAAAGATAGGGAAACAACCAAAGTGTCCATCAACTGATGGATGGATCAAGGGAATGGAACATACACACAATAGGATACAAATCAGCTACAAAAAGGATGGAATCCTTTCATTTATGACAGGATGGAGTGGAAGTCATTGTTAAGTGAAATAAGCCAGACACAGAGAAGGAAACCCTGCATGAGCTCACTCATATGTGGAATCCAGAAGTGGATCTCATTGCAGTCAAGAGGTCGATCCATGGGCACTAAGGTATAGTTAGATAACAGAAAAGAGCTCTGGTGTGCTATTGCATAGTAGGATGACTATACATAATGATAATGTAGTAAACATTTTTCAAAGAAGCTAGTAGAAAGAATTTGGATGTTTTCACCACAAAGCAATGACAAACGTTTCAGGAGATAGATGTATTTACCCTGATTTTACATTACACAAAGTGTTCATATATTGAGCTATCACATGATGCACAATAAATATATCTAATGCTTATGTATCAGTTAAAAATAAAATAAATAATAAAAACACATAATAATTACTCAATTTTTAACAAACACCTTTAATAGGGCAAATTATACCCTTGTAATTTCTTTGGAGAGTCCTGCAAATGGAGTTCTACTGTGTACCCTCTCATTAGAAGTAGATAGTAAGGAGATTTCATTCATGGCCAATCTTTTATATAATGGTTAGTTTGAACATATTTCCTAGACATGCATGCCAGCGGAGAGAAATAAGGACACAAATAAGCAAAAACAAATGGGAAAAAAAATACCTTTTCTCTTTATGTTTGAATTCATTCAGAAGCTAAATTTGGTTCAAATACAGATGTGTCTGTTATTGAGTATATAAGCACAAATATGTGTGCTCATGCTTAAGTCTTCTCCCTGTCCCAGCTCTGCTGCTAGAGCAGCTTGGGACAGAGCCAGTTGAAGTACAGGATCAATCAAGGCTGGGGCTGTAGCTCAGTGGTAGAGTGCTTATCTAGTATGGGTGAGGTACTGGGTTTGAATCTTAACACCACATAAAAACAAATAAATAAAAAATAAAAATTAAATTCTTTAAAAAAAATCACCCATCTGCAGAGAACTGAGAGAAGTCTACACTGTAGCTACCAAATTACTCCCAAACCACCTTGACTATGGTGCTTTCAGATGGTGGATGACATTATATTTAAAATATTTTAGGATCCCTAAATCAAAATTTTGCTATAACAATAAACACCCAAAGCAGGAATTTGAGCTGTGTTCATACTCATCTTGTTCCTCTTCTTGTCTACTACTTAACCTCTCAACACTGAGAATCCTGACATTTGCCAGAGAACAAGGGAGAAATGACAGAATGGAAGAGGATGGCTCCATCTCTGCTATGATGCTGTGTGTCAAATCTGTCAGCAGAACCAGGCAGGATGACCACTCCAGCCATTCTACTTAAATGGGAAAAGCACAATGAGGTTTATTTGAAAATACCTGTGTCTAAAGTCTGGCCTAGTCTTCTCCCAGTTACTAATCACCTGTGCATACCTGGCAAGTTGCTCAACCTTTCTGGATCTATTTTCTTGTTGGATAAATGATGTGTGTGGAGCGGGCATGCTGGTGAGAGCCAACAGCTTCCCTAGTGGGCACTGGGACTCCCCAGCATTGTCAGAGTGAGTGGCTTTTAGATGCAAAGCTGTCAAATCAGTTTGCCTGAAGTTTCTGGTCAGACATGGTCTCGTCACTGAAATGTAGAGACAGTCTAGAAGATTTTCTGGAAAGGAGCTTAAACCATCTAAGAAGGAAACATGAGAATTCTAAAGAAAACACCTGAGAGGAGAGGTCGAGAGGCTTTCAGAGAGAAGGGAAAACTGCCTTCTAAGTAAGTTACTGTCAAAGATCCGAAGGACAGGAAGCCAGCTTAACCGAGAAATTGTTGAAGGACACAAACAACCTCTTAGCCCTGTCAAGTAAACTGCCACTGTGCAGAGAAGGAGAATGAAAAGAATGGAGCGACACACAGCCACTTGAAGTTCTCCTCAAAGGCAGACACGTTAACCTCCCCCAAGGGAGGGGAGCCAGGTGCTCTTTCATGGAGGAAAGAAACTAGCTCAGTGTGGAGTGCAGTCCACCAATTCACTTTGGAAATGACTCTGGGGTTACACCAATTCACTCTCCAGTAGTGCTCAGAGAAAAAGTTAGATCTGGTTTAAAGGATTGAAAAAAAAGACAGAAATCAATGTCACAAACCCAAGCCAAAATATCAAAATCTGTTTTGTTGTGCTTTACTTAGATGGCCAGCAGTAATTATGCCCATGATTGTGACTAAGGTCCATTTACCAAGAATGTAACAAAGATTAGATTACGGCTGTTTAAAGAAAAAAAAAAAACAGCTTTTAGTTCTAAGGAAAGGATAAGTTGGCTTAAAATTAGTAGCATCAGAGTGGATCCTCTCTTAAATTCACATGAAAGAGTTATACCATGCTAGAAGAACAGTGGAACCAATTTTACTCACCTCTCTTCCCTGAGGGATCCCAAGAATTTGGAAGCATAGTGGAATAGAAAAATGCCAGTGTTACAAAGCATTTTAAAAAGGGGACATGACAACAGTTCTGTATTTAAGCATTAAGTACGATGATATTATGTTATAATTGTCTCTTTCAATAAAGTCAATTATATTTTTGTGGATTAAAAAATAAATAACATTTTAATTGTGTTTGATAGGTTATACTGCAGCATGCGTTCTCAGTGACTGCATGGAGTATATTAAATAACATTTAATTTTTAATTTCTATAAATGGTATTTGAGGGACCTGTTTAGCTGACATATATACTGCATTTGTAATTTTTTTTTTAAATTTAGAAAGACCTAGTACTCTGAAGATAATGCCTTTTAACAAAAGACAAAGACAAAACATACATATATTTTATCACATAATCATTTTCATTGTAACATAGCAATGGTACTAGCTTAGAAAAGATCCTCCTGGGAATTCATTTCAAATTATTGAAGCAGCTGTTTCTTCAGTTTAAAATAAAATATCCATAACAAGTTCACACATGACAGATGCAAGCTAAAAACTAGATTCCACAGTGTGAGCTAAAAGCAGATGTTTTGAATGATCATATTTATAACCAGATACAATAAATCTTAGTTACCTATGGTAAGTTTTCATGAATCCTCTTTTCCAAGAATTTGCTTAAAATATAGATCCTGTAGTTTCCTGAATTTTTTGATCTAGGTTTCATTAGATATAAAAATTCTGTAGATTCATATATATATATATATATCTGGTCTTTTTCCCTCTTGTTCATTCTTATGCTTCTTCCAGAATAAAGCACTATTAGGGCACTAAAGTTTATTACATTTATTAGGTCCTATTCATTCCCCCCACCAGAAGCAAAAGTCAGGAAATCATTTTGTTTTTGTAAATAAATGCACAATCATTAGAAAGGCTTAGAATATAAGCTGTTTGCATGGAGAAAAACCACTCCAGAACTGTAATGAATATTAATATGGAATTAGAACTTTAGAATCATAAACAATGAAGTTTAATGAAAATTTAAAGTTTGATGATCAGAGGAGAATAATCAACTATAATTATGAATGTTTGCTATTTGATTTTCCCTTAAAACTTATCACAGATTATCCTTTTTAATTTTGATTAACTTACACTTCTAAACTAAAGTGATCACAGMATGGGGTCAAAGCAAACAATTTGGCCTCACAAGATGGGATTGTGTTCCAGCTTTGCTTCATAATTTTTCTTTTTGGTGATACTGGGGGATGGAACCCAGAGGCACTGAGTTTTTATATCCCCAGCCCTTTTTAAAAAGTCTTTTATTTTGAGACAGTTCTCATTAAGTTGCTGAGGCTGGCCACAAACTCACAATCCTTCTGCCTTAACCTACTGAGTCACTCTTCCATCCAGTTTCATTATATTCTTTTAGGCATTCTGAGACAGATTCTGTAAGTTCTTCTAAGACTGTTTTCAGAAATAGATATGAAATTGTATACATATACAACTATAGTATATGTATGTTTTATGATGTATAGAAATTATATTTGTGGGAAATTCACATATGCTCTCAGTTTTCTCAAGRTGAATGGCTAGCTGTGTATCATTTGGCTACTTTCTCAGTACTTCTGCCACTACGAGAGAGCCTTCCTTATAGCTTTAAACCAGTCATCACCTCCGCATGATGCTCTTCATTCTGCTGTAAGACTTCTATGCAGAGCTCTGCTAGATGAAGAACCTCTTCCAGCTTCCTAGCAGGAGTTGCCTGGTTCATGGTCTCTATATAAAAAAGAAAAAAACAAAAACATAATGTTACCTTGAAAAATACAAAGGGAAACATATTCTAAGATGTAATGATGAGGCTGCAGTATTGAAATAGAATGAGAAAGCATACTTTTGAGAAATAAGGGATGCAAGAAACACAATTGAATACATTATATTTTAAAAACCCAGTTCACCAGATTGTAGAAAATATTTCACCCACAAAGCAATCACAGGGATCTGTAAGTGCTTTGCCATTTAGTACATAAGAACTAACAGGTGCAACAGCACATTAGATGCTCAACTTCTGCAACAAACAAGTTATAATTCTCCTCAAGGTCAGAAACACAAAGAGAGCAGATACCACAGTCTTTTCCTCTCTCTGTATTGTATTATCAATTCAATACCATTCTCACCAGATGAGTCATTCCTGGCAATAGCAAAACCCAGGCTTTTTTTGTTGCTATTTAAATTCCCAGCTTGAATGTCTACAGTTCACGTTGATCTTAAATTCAAGAAGTACAAAGTCACCTAAAACAACTCTGACAGCCTGCAATTAACTGATTTCCTCTCCTGCTTCCCTGACACCATCCCACCCCACCTTCCAACTGTCAGGGGCAGGGGGATGGGGAAGGGCAGAAGCATTCTTTGAAGTTGAAAGTTCTTTCAGCATTAAGCCAAATTGGTGTAAAAAAGATTAAGTATATGTACCTGAAATTCAGCAAAAGAGAAGGCAAAGTAAATGATTTCAAAGTACAACAAACTAGCAGAAATTAGATGTGCCCATTGTAATGAAACTGTTTCAAGATTGAATACAAAGAACAGAGTATTCAGTTAATGAAGATGAACTCTTGTCTTATCCATTTTGTGTCGCTATAATAGAATASCTGATACTGGGTACTCTAAAGAAAAGAGGTATATTCAGTTCATAGTTTTGAAGGCTTAAAGTCCAAGATTGGGTAGCCCTATCTGTTTGGTCTCTAGTGAAAGCCTTTCTGGGTACATTATGATGTGGTAGAGAAATAGAAAGAGAAAAGATTACATGCAGAAAGAAACCAGTGTGTAGGGTTGCCTTGCTTTATAACAACCCACTCTTTTGAGAACCGATTCCAAGAACTGAGAGATCAGCATTAATTCCTTCTGAGGTTGCTGTCACCATGATCCAATCACTGCACACTCATCTCTTATAGATCTCACCACCTCAATGCTGCCATACTGGAGCCCAAGCTTCCTGCACATGAAACTTAGGGGGACATCTTCAGACGGTATCTAAACCAAGCCATACCCACTCTGTCTTAGACTCATGGGCTCCATGAATCCTCTCTGTCCCATTAAAAAGACTGTATGGAGGGGAAATGAATTTTTTTTATTGGTTGTTCAAAACATTACAAAGTTCTTGACATATCATATTTCATACATTAGATTCAAGTTGGTTATGAACTCCCAATTTTACCCCAAATACAGATTGCAGAATCAGGAAAGGTAGCAGAATACAACAGTTACTAATAGGGCATTATGTAAAAATGTGGATGTGTAACCAATGTGATTCTGCAATCTGTATTTGGGAAATGAAATTTTCAGAAAAAGAATTTATTATTTGGACCTTAGGAATGACATTTTTCTTTTCTTGTTTTTTTTTTCTTCCTGAGATCTTTCCCCTCAATTTATTTCTCCTTTAAATTTCAGCCTTAAATTTTGAAGATTCTTGCATTTGCTCTGACCTAATTTGTTCTCAAAGGACACATTGTGATTCAGTGAAACACTACTTATGGTTGATGTTGGTCAGACAGTGTGGTGCATCTGGGATTTGTATCCCTGAATCCCCAAACCATGTACGCATCCTACTAAATTCTCCTGCAAGATGGAGAGCCATGGCTCTTCTATGACAGGGATCAGAGAACATAATGGTTCTTTAGGAGAATCAGCCTGTCAGACACCAAATAGTTGAGTGTGCCTATAATTCTCTTAGCTGTGAGGATTAGAAAGAAATATCACCAACCACAGCTTTCTAGGGCAGGGTGGGGAAACTGCAGAGGACTGCACTCACACTTGCTAAAGGAATAATCCAATAGACCTGGATTAAACAACTGAAGGCAGTATGCTCTGGCCTTCAACCTTTCTCAGTTTGAAATACCATAATTAACTAACAAATCAGAATGCATTCATGATTCAGTATTTCTGCCCAGCCATAAATTGCCTCTGAAAACACCATTTTGTGGAAATCTCTTATGAAAAATTTGGGTTAGAGTTGCCTTAGAGGACACTATGTAGAGCTGCCTTGGTTCAGTGTAGCAGAATTGCAATTCTTCATCCCCCCCCCAAATGCTATGTCCTCTTACTTCCAGGTCAATTTACTTTATTTTTTAGTTGACAGTAGTATAAGATGTGCCCTGATCTCAAAGCAAAACTCAGAAGCCAACTTTAAGTATCCTTAGACATCAACTATAAAATTCTCCATCTCTTCCAAGGACATATCAACATCTTCAAACAAGGGGGAGGTCAAGGGGGCTCATGACTTAGCACCACCACCTGTTCCACTTGGGGGAGGCTCTGGCTGTTTAATCAAGAAAACAAGGTCCTCAAGAAAAGTTTGAAGCAAACATATGGGTGATGAGAGAGATGGAAGATGACTGCAGAAAGCAAGTAGGCTTGGGGTGACATCAGAGGGAAGATAAGTCACAAAGGAGTAACAGATGACTTGGTAAGAAGAGGGAGGGTTTCTAGAGAAGAGGAACTGTATGACAGATGAGGTGCATTGCAGAGGACGGAGAAGACGACAACAGGTACAAATGTTACAGTTCCTTGAAAGCCACTGTCAGGCATCACCTGCCACTTCCCATGTGTTATCCCACTGCTTTTCCTAATATCTTTTTTTAATCAATATAAATCACAGATAAGGACACATGTATAACAGAGATGAAATGCAACAGCTAAAAAGTAGTGAAGGGAAGACTTGAATTTCTTGTGGCTTCTAATTGCTATGTCTTGTATTTACCTGGCTAGAGCAAGGATGTGCTGGGGAATAATGGGTGACCATGGTAGGCTTTAAGTAAAATACTCAGCAGCCTGGATAATTCTATTGATATATAGCTTAGTACAAATGTTTCTTAGCAGGGCCTCAGAATAAATAAAATTTTAGAAAAACATACTTGGTGTTGTGTGCGACAAGGCTCAGTGAGGTTATGTAGTAAGGACCCTGGATGGGACCCCAACCTGTAGAGTGACAGGGATAGAGGAGAAGGCAAAGATGCAAGAGACAGTTTGAGGGAAGGATCAAAGTCATCCACAGATAGTCTTAAAGATTTCTTCAAGCTTAGAGAATCTATGCTGCTTATAAATTCTGGACTGTATCTATTGACTTATATTTAACATATTTACATGTGTACACAATTTTTTTTTTCACAAGGAAGGGTAAAGATGAAAGAATTAAAGAAAATTTTTATTTCATAGAAAAGGATCTTGTTTTTCATATACTTTAGCATGTTGTTGACCAAATCCTCACACCCAATTTGAAAGTTAAAGAATCAAGACTCTCATTTACAGAGTCTCAGAGAGGCTGAAGCAGGTGATCAAGGTCATGCAGATGCTGCCTGGGATGAGATTTAAATCTTACCTCTCAATGACTTGAGTTCTTTTTCATTTTCAATTCTCTAACAGGAATAGCACACACATACCATCTCCTTAGCCACAACTAGGCAAAAATGGGGAAAAAAATCACAGAAACAATTTCAAAACTTATTTCTGTTTATGTATGAATGTTTCAAAGCCAGCTTTTTACATTTGATGTTATCTTAAATAAAAACTCTGGTGCATACTCTGTGTCCTAGGTGAAACTCAACTATAGTCTAAAACATTTTATTCCTCCTAGATTAGGTTTGCTGAGAGGATTAAAACTTTGTACTTGAATGTAATGCTCACTCTAGTACTTTAAATAAATAGTATTTTTATCACCCCTGGTGCTCATCATTTGACTACAGCCAAGAAGTCTAAAGCATTCCATAGTCGGAACTCTATTAGATAACAAGGTTATGGATAGCTCCATCCAAGAACTGATGCTATGAATATTTGAGAATTTCTTCTTAAGGTATTTTCTTTCGCTCTTTTAGTAACATTTCCATGGCATTACAGATGTTCTCTATATTCTTCAGGTTTCACACCAAGTTGCTGATTGTTGTAATACATTTCAAATAGTGACATTTAAAACAAATATGCCCAAAGCAGCAAGGTTTCATGATGAATTTCAATGCATTGCTCTTGGCTATGATCTTTTTTTATTCTAAAACATTTTTAGCTTTCTATGATAACACTCCTTGGCTCCCTAAAGCGATTCCTTTTAATTATACCTCTGTACATTTAAGAAGAGATCCCACTGGGGAAAAGGGAGAGAGGTGAGAATATGTAGAGGACAGGTTGACTGCTTTGCTTTGGTAGGCTTTAGTTCTGCTCCAAGGCTTCAGAGAGGTGCAGGCTCCCAGCACATTCTCCTTGGCTGCCTCCCTTGCTGTCATTTCCTGTCAAGGTCCTCAGTGATGGACTCAAGATGATGCTCCTTGTTAAGATTGCAAGGGGGCGTGGGAAGATGACAAGTGAGATCACTTCAGTTCTTTTTTCTTCATTTTATAACGTGTAGAAATTTGTAATGCTTTTGACCTTAACTAAAAATATTTAGTTGACAAAGTTTGCATACCTTCAAATTATGCATTATGATTTGATGTACTTTGTATTATGTAATAATTATCACAAATTAATTTTGATGAGAGATTTTAAGTGTTCTCAACACATATATGCACAATGATCTTAACTTTTTATAGACTGCATCTGTACTTGTACTAAATAAGAAACAACATCTCAAGATGTCACTGACTGAAGGATTATATAATAATTCCACCCTAACGTGGCCCTGTCTTCTTTCCTTTCTTACACGTAGGACATGATGATTTTCAATGGGAATATAAAAAAGTAATTCCTGCATTTGTATTCAGATTTCTAGTTTGGTTTTTCAACTGCCCAGATTTTGT